TATATATATATGTGTGTGTGTGTGTGTGTGTGTGTGTGTTTTAAACACTTCCCACACTCTTGCAATATTCTAAACAATTATTCTAAACTCTAAAAGCTCTAAAAGAGCACAGCATGTCATGATTTCATCTCCCTGCCTCAGCTGCACTCTGCCACCTGCCAGCACTCTTGGCCACGCCCACTTCTCTGCTGCAGTGCAGGAGTGTGACACGCTGCATGAAGAAGCTTTTTCTGCAGCTGTGGGCTGCACACAGGTGCTAAATAATTAAAAACAATTTATTTAAAATAAAAATCCCATGCCGATCATGCGGCTCATCCATCAGTCAGCCAACTGTGTGTCATGTCCAATCTTATTTTGAAAAGCCGCGATAGAGCGAGTCCACAAAAAACGAACCATGAAGTAGCAAAGGACTACAGTATAGGGAAATGTTTGAATAAAGCTAAATATCAAATAGGATATTACTATTACAACTAGAATAATCTCGATAATTTTCAAACATATTTTCCCATTAAGTTAAAAATAGACAATATAATAAAATGTGTTTTTTTGTCCAGCCAAAATTTAAGAAATTAGAACAAAAACACAGAAATATCTATCACATGCCAATAGGGGGCCGATAACATCCAAATCAGCACATGGATAAATTGTAATAAATAGATGGATGGGTGTAGAAGGATTTGTAATGTGGGGAGGATACACTAATAGGGGGGCCTGGGGGTCCTCCCCCAGAAAATTTTGAATAAAGTAGATGCCATGTCCTGAATTCTGGTGAGTTTTAACAGGTTGTTAAACATCTAAGTTTACATACATAAGTAAACATGATTCGATAACTATTTTTGAGACCATGGGACAATGCTCCCCCCCACCCCAGTCAACAACTGCCGGCACTAACATAGCGCTAAGCTAGTGTGCAACACAGAGGTGTCTCCACCTCCTCCCCCCACCCCGTCAAGTGATCTAGGGAAAACACTGCATGCGGTGTGGTAAGTTGTTGTAAGTAACCAGGAAAACCAGGAGAAGATTTATAATGGAATTTGTATTCTCATATTAATTAAGTGGAATGGATTTGTTCATGAAGCAATAGAAACAGTGCTGGGTGAATTAATATTTCATGGACATCATTGTTTGCACTAATACTCAAACTAATACAAATAAAATATATATATATAGTTCCAGTTTTTCTCACCAAAATATATTTTTATGTGGATGACAAGCAGAGCAGAAATCTTTGTTTTACAAAATATCCACGTTAGTGCAAATATTCTTAATATTTTGTCCCTCCCAGCACAAACATCCAGCCGTCGTGCTGAAGTGTCAGAATGCACTTTCGACATCAACATAATGCATGACCCCCATATATTTATTTTTAAAACATTGTGGTCATTTTGAGCAGTTCTCAGAGAATGTTTCAACGCTTTAATAATTCAAGAAGTTGAAGCCTCGGGGGGGAAAAAAGAGGGGGAAAGGAAAAATGTTTCATGCATGCTGAGATACACTTAACCTCTCAGTGACCCCTAGTTTATGGAGGAAATGGATATACTCTATCATAGTATTTAGAAATATACTTTTTAATCTGTAAGGGGAAAAAATCATGCACATAAAAATACTTATACATTAATGATACTCCTGTTTAGAAAAAGTGCAGCACTGTAACTATAGAAAAGAGTACGGCTGATAGTATACATTATTTTGTCCTTGGACAGATGAAAGATGACAGATTTATATTTGGCAACAAGCAGCAGACTTTAAAGTTTTATCTTCAAAGTGAAAGGTTAAGACTTACAGTCAGTGTGTTTGAAGCTACATTCGCACTACGGTTCAGTGACCCTGAAATTTTAAAAATAGATCTAAAATCTGCACTACCTCTCTGTCCCAGATCACTGTGACAACGCAGACAATTAGGTCAACGGTAAATGTGAACGGAGGCGCCGTCTCCGATCCCCTGGGAAAAGTTAAAAGTACCAACATGTTTGTTCAAACTCTGACTTGATTACTTATTATCCAAGTCATTTTGATCCAGTACTTTGATTTTAGAATAAACAATACTATCATGTGAACATGTCAGAATTAAAATGACAGTAGCATGGTTCAGATCGAGTTCAAGATGTTTAAATTTTATTAATACCTGTAACATGTGTTTGTGTGTTTATTCGTCTGTTTCTTAGCAAAATATTTCATGAACCTCTGCACTGAGTTTAATTAAATAGATTTTTTTTTAACTCAGCCTACACAGCTACAACTGACAGAGTCAACTAGATTCAAGACTAATCAACCTTATGCCGATGTCCCCTTTCACTGAGGGATTTGACAATAGTGTGTTTCTGGACTGGACTGGAGTTGGACATGCAAGTAAACCTTAATGTTTTTGGTACAAGATATTCAAGTGGGTAGAAGTTACATTGTGTGTAAGAATAGAGGTAGTTTTTTTTCCCCCATTCTTGTCTGAGGCAGTACAGAATGATGGATCCTGGCATGTGGAGGGGGCAATTTTATCCACAACCAGGCACATTGGTGGGGCCAGGGGGTGGCCAATGGTGGTATTGTCCAGCAAAGATCAATCTTCTGCCACCCCAATCATTTGAGGAAACTATACTTTTAAGCAATGTACAAACTAGAAAGAATAGTTTTCTCAACTGATCGGTGTGGTGAGTTTTTATACATAAATGGCAGTGCATTTTCAACGACCTTCCTTACGCGTAAATCTAGCGCACACCAAAATGGAAGTTGGCACCTCAATTATATTTCATGTTCACCGGCTCACAAGACAAACATTTATAGCGGCAGCCATGTTGGATTTTAATGTGACAACCCAATTTTCAAAAGGAACTTTTTTATACGCAACACGCCAAAATGAAAGTCAGTACCTCACTTGTTTTCAAGTTATCATGCTCACAATACCAACAAACATTTATGATGGCAGCCATCTTGGACTTTGACATGGCAACTCATTTTACAAAAGAACCATTTTTAGACATAGATGCAACCACACACCAAATGGAAGTTGGTATCTCACTTATTTTCCAAGTTTTCATGCTCACAACATGCATGGACAGAGGGTACAGTATTTCCAATCCCCTCTCTTTGCTCTGCCAAGTGGGACAACAAACACAGATATGACTATAACTTCATCAGTTTTACAGATATTGAGCTAAAGTTTGGTGTGGTAGTAGCTGAGACTCACCCTTAATGCATACTCTGAGAGTTAACAAATCACTGAAGTCTTCGTGTCAAACACTGCCATGCAAGGCAGTGGTATTTTTTTTTATTATTATAAAATGTTATTGTGTTACCAAATTCAAATTTAATAATATTTTGTTAATGCAACAATCAATATATGTATAATTTGAAATATTTCTACTAACCGTTGTATTACCCTTTAACTTTATGACCATTCATGTTCCTTAGGGGAAAAAATCTACCACCTGATTTAACCGTTTTAAAATACATTTTATATATAAATATTTGTTTCCACAATAAACTAGTCAATATTTTAGAGCAAGCTTTGCCTGAAATAAAAATACTAAATTAAAATGATTATTTTGTTTCAACTCTGGAAGGGCCTTCAGTTAAAAAAAAAAAAAAATCCTCCCCATTTCAGATTTTTTTCAGTGTCAATTAAATATTTATCGGTAACTGAACACTGTTTTTTTTCACATACATACATACATATATATATGTACACATAT